CTCCATGACCAGAGTCCACTGTGTATTGCACTGCCTGATTACTTCTGATCGCTTGAGGTGGAGGGGCCATTTAAGCTTCTGGGCCTGTCAGGGCTTAAATACCATGGAATCAGAGCCTGCTCGATGTAAAGTACTTGCAAAGTACTGTTTTCATTTCATCGTAGCATAACAAATGTGACTTTGCAGCAGTTAGAACGCGCCGTATGTGGTAGCATTATTATCGAGAAGACAGGCGCGATGTTCCCTACCATACAGTAGCATTCCATTTACATTGCCAGTTATAACATGACATCAGGTTCTGATACCGGATTTACTCAGCGTAAGCGCTCCTCCCCCTAACTCCTAATCACTTAGACTGGAGGAGGGACACATTTTAGCAGGCCTCGTACTCTATGGCATTTAAGTACCTGTGATGCACTCGATGCAAGGCCGCATCTCTGAACTGGACAAAGCATTCGTGTGTTTGGGAACCGACTAAATCTACCTCTATCCACAGACAAAACATCGTCCAGTTCTTTCATGGTAGCTACCACGGGCATCAGAAATTGAAACGTTTCGATTACCTATGGAAGTGGAAGGCGACTGCGGGCATTGGGATTATAATTGTATTTTGTTACGTATTTTCCTATGAGTAGTGACAGATGTAACTGATGCTAGAACGCGCCCTCGTTCATCCTAACTCATAAATGCGTTTGCATCCAATTCAGGAGCGCGAATACCTTGGAGGCGGGGCCTGCTTAAATGCCCCCTCCAACAGGCGACTGAAAGCAAAGGGTGGTGCGCTTACGCCAAGTAAATCACGTATCAGAAACTGAAATATCATTCATGTATTAGCCTATTTGAACTCATTGCTGATGAATGCTTTGCAGAGGCTGCAGATTCTGCAATTTCGTCTTGTTATTATGCTTTTATAATCCACACCTTACAGTTTCTCGGGATGCGTCAAAACCTTCTTCATCCATTTCTGATCAGACCCATCAACATCTCCTATGCACCATTGTTTTAATCTCCGCTAACGGTAGTCACATCTTACACTAACGTTTCCCTCACGTCGAGTCTTTCCTCATACGCAATGTTAGCGAACCGTAATACGAGCCGTTACACTCATAGTTGTTGCTTTTGGGTACCAGTCATTATTGCGTTCTTTGTCAACGTTTTGCATTTCTGAGCTAAAAACAGTCGTAAGCCCGGTCCAAGAAGTCCTTTGTTTTCTCTTGTTTTGGTCCGTCAGACGTGTTGATCAATGACCGTTATACTTCTACCGATATGGTTATTAAAATTTTTGTGGAATGATGTACTTTTCAGTGCATACCCTCGACACGGTTTGCCTCAGTTATCTGATTTTCCTCCTTCAGCCACAATGAAAATCAGTAAAAGGGAAGCGTTGTGTGGGTGTTTGTGTTTGTTCAGATCATCATCTCGAACTATTTGCATAAGGAAGGCGTGTCCGGTCTGCGATGACCTCCGCATTCTTGGCTTTTTTCCTTACAGGGAACCTGACCTTTTGCTTCATCGCAGAGGGGACAGTTCCTTTTCGAAATCAGATATGCTTCTACCTTACTCGTACATGTTTTCTGTTGAACGTCTCTCATGCTTCCGCTCCCACGGGAGAAGCAGATGGATTTGAGAGTACATAGCCAACCAGCTTGCATGACGTGGCTGATCACATTTTCTCAACCTCCACATCTTCTGACAACACCCCTTTATGGAAGAGAATGGACTGATCCCTTACGTGGTCGTGCATGTTACGGTCATTATGTGTCGAAGCCAACTCTGCTGTGCGCAGTTCCATCGTCGTTCTTGGTCGTTCAGTAGAACAACTGCCCCCCCCCTGCCTACGTCGTACAAGCAATACTCATCTGACAGACGTACTGTACAGGCGGATTTTTGTGCAAGGGGTTACCCCTTCCTTGGCGTTA